CTTGGCAGAGAACACAACAGTCCCCTTGAACTTCTTGTTAAAGAGAAATGGATAAACAGCCTCTCCTCAGGTCAGCTTTCATTTTCCTGGAGGCCAGAAAAGTTACAGAGATTCTGCCAGTCAGCTGTTGTCTCTCAGAGGAAAACCACTTCTGATGTGGCTTTCGAAGGGCTTAGAATCAGAAGGCTGCTGTTGGAGTCCCAGCTTCGACACTAACTAGCTGTATGAGTCTGTATGCACCTCCTCATTTTTCTGTATCTGCTTCATCATCTGTGAAATGAGAATGATTATGCTTGGCTTACTTCCTTCACTGCAATGTTGTGAGGAAAGAATTGTGTAGATCTGTAATCACTCTCTGGTGAGAAGGGCAGGGATGTGATCAAGCCTTCTTGGTAGCTGATGAGGAGAGAGGTCTGAGGCAGCTAGACCAGTTAGGAGGCTAGTACCAAAGTCCAGGTAAGAGGTGATGAGGGCCTTCACCAGGGTAGGAGGTAGGTGAGAGAAGGGGATATATACAAAAGATGATGTGATGGTAGACATGTCAGACCTTAGCGACAGATAGGGTGTGGAAGGTGAGGAAGAGTGAGGATCCAAGGATTACACCTGGATTGCAAATCTGGATGATTGGGAAGATGGTGGTGCCTTCAATATCAATTGGGAAGTTTGGGAAGGGGGGAGTTCTGTTTTGGACACATTGAGAAGCCTTTTGGCCCTCTGATTTGGCAAGAGAGAGAAATAGAAAGAGAGAAAAAGAGTGAGAGAGAGAGAGAGAAGGGGGAGAGGAAGAAATTAAGAGAGAGAGAGAGAGCCTTTGACTTCAAATCTAGTGCTTTTTCCATGAGAAAACTCTAACCCTAATAAGTTAAGTGTCACTCAATTACTTAGCACTAAATTCAGAGCTATGACTTGGGATCCTATGGTCATAATTACAGAGCTGGAAGAAAGCTCAGAGGTCCTCATTGGCCTTTAAAAAGAAAAGAAAAAGGAACCAAGATAACTCGCAGTCTAGAAGTTTGCACAGCGCAATAGGCAAACTGAGTCAAAACCCCTTCATTTTACTGATGGGGAAGCTGATGCCCAGGGAGATGAAATGACTTACTCAAGGTCATACAGGTAATAAACAAGAGTTCAACTCAGGTCCTTGGACTCCAGACATAGTGAGATGTGCTTAAGTCAAGAATAGACCTCCCATTTTGTCGCTGTAGACAATTAAGTTCATCATCATCATCATCCTCTTCATCATCATCATCATCCTCTTCCTCCCCAATTTACAGATGAAAAAACTAAGGCTGTAAGAGAGAAAATGATTTGCCCAAGGTCCCACAGCTAGTAAGTGGTGCTTGGCACGCCGTGTCAGAAATACTTTGGTCTTCATTTGAGCTGGTGTAGATAATGTGGATGGCACGGTGGGTTTTTCCAGACCAGTTGTTCTTGGTGCCCTTGGCTCATCTTGATTAGGTGAAGGAATTTAGAATTAATGATGGGCGGTCATGGACCAGCTGGATTGGGGGGTTGGGATGGTCTGAGTGGCAGGATGCCTTTTTGTGAGCAGGGCATCTTGAACATGTGAAAGGAGGCTTATGGAAAGAATTCCTCAGCATGAACTTTGTGCTGGAATGGAGAATGTGAAGGCCAAGGGCGTTGCGTGTGGGGTATGCGCGCTTAGCGCAGTGCCTGGCACTTAGTAGGTGTTTAATAAGTGTTTGTTGATTGATTGATGAGGCCAGCTGTGTTAGGGTGTGCGCCTGGGGAGAGAGCCCAGAGGCTGAAGCATTTAAGCCTCCTCTGAGGTCAGGGTGGAGTAATAGTAATAGTAATAACAACAATAATAATAATCACATCTAAAAGTTTTATAGTGCTGTAAAGTTTGCAAAGTGTTCCATGTGTTACCTCATTTGAGTTTCACAATGGCGCCATGCGACGGTTCTTATTATCGTCCCCATTTTGTAAATTAGGAGGCTGTGATTTGCTCAGATTTGAACTTGGGATTCCCTAATTTCAAGGCCAGCCCTCTATTCACTGTGCCACCTGGTAGAAAATACACTGAGAAGAGCTTACGAAGGCCTGGGTTTGAGTGTTATTCTGCCACTTAGTGGCTGTGGACCCTTATTGAATCACTGCGCCCTCTCTGAGCCTCTGTTTCTGTGACCCAGATCAAGCAACTTGACCACTCTTTGACTCGATTTTAAAATGGGGATCATAAGAGCACCTCGCTCATGGAGTTTTGTGGGATCCAATTAATTAAGTTTCTTCATTTGTAAAAGGAGTGGATGGGACCGGTTCCTCCCAACACTCTGTGGTCATGCAGACCATGCTGCCATGCTGGAAAGAGCTGTGACCTTAATTGACTACTCCGACCTTCAGTTTTCTTCTCCACAATTGGGGATAATGACTGACCCTAAAGGGCTAGAGAAATGTGAGCTTCTCTTATGGGACTTCTCTCTAGCATTTCCCAGCCCTGGAAGCAAGGCTGCCCTTCTTTTCTTTGTTGTTGCTGTTCGGTCATTGCAGTCGGGTCTGACTCTCCCTGACCCCATTTGGGGTTTTCTTGGCAGAGATAGTGGGGCGGTTTGTCATTTCCTTCTGCAGCTCATTTTATAGATGAGAAAACTGAGGCAAACAGGGTAAAGTGACTTGTCCAGGGCCACACAGCTAGTAAGTGCCTGAGGCCAGATTTGAACTCGGGAAGATGAGCGTTCCTGACTCTGGGCCAGGTGCTCTATGCACTATAGCACCACCTAGCCACCTCCTTCTTTTCTTCCAAAGAAGAAAAGAAAACAGTTTCCAATATTGTTGTTGTCAGGACAAACGTCAGGAAGATGGTGCCGTGACTGGGAAATGAATCCAGTACTGAATGTCTTCTTGACCGGGACTGGCGAGGAAAGGCTTCTAGCCCCCTCTCATAGTTGTAGTCCTTTCAGGTCCCAGCACTTCCTCGTACACAACCCGAGTCTGTAGGACGAGACTTCCAGTTCCTTTCCCCTCGGTTTACCCTCAGCCAAGATGGCAGATGATTCTGAAATCGAGAAACTTGGCTCTTCCCTAGGCTGTGAGCATTCAGGGGAACACGCACATCTGTGTTCTTTGCCCAGGACAGCTATAATTTCCTCCCTCCCTGATCAGGAAGGGGAATGTTGGCCAGGACATATGGTGACTTTTTGGAAATGTGGCACAGGACAAGGAATTTCCACAGGGGCCGTGTCAATGCCGGCTCTGTTTGACTCACCTCGAGACTGCCAGGAGACTGGGGAGTTTTCTAGGCTCACTTGTTTGGCATCCTCGAAATCAGACTTGGACCATCCCCCATGGAAAAAAATGACCAAAAGGAGATTTAATATAGTATAAATAGCATTAGAAGAAATGGCAGACCTGCCCCTGTTCAGGGGAGATGGATTTCCCAGAAAAGTCCCCTGCTCCTCAAACTTAAATCCAACTCAAATTAAATTGTTTTTCTTGAGATTCAAACTATTTTTGTGCATAATTCTTTCCAGCCTCGAGCCTTGTTTTCGTGGACTTGGGAACATCTCAGGCATCCTTGGTACAGACATCAGGAAAGCTCTCAGGCTCTGGGCCATCAGCTGGGTAGAAGCTTCCTGATACTGGAGCCATTTTCTTTTGTGAAAGGAGGCAGGGGATGGGCGGGGGGAATCAGGGCCCAGAAGCAACATTGGTAATAGCTCATGTTTAAATGGTGCTTTCAGATTGGCAAAGCATTTTGTACACATTGGGTTCTCACGAAACCCTGTGAGCTTGGTGCTCTTATGAAGCCCATTTTACAGATGAGAAAACCAAGGCAGAGAATAGTTAAGTTGCTTACACTGGGTCACATAACTCATTACTGTCAATGGTGAGATCCTGGTTCTTTAGCTTCCAGTCCTCTCATCTAGGAAGGAAAGAGCTGGGCTAGACCAGGGGTTCTGAAGGTAGGCCTCATGGACTTGTTTTAAACAATATTTTGATAACTGTATTTTTATATAATTGGTTTCCTTTGTAATTCTATGAATTTTCTTTCTATGCATTTCAGAACACGATTCTGAGAAGAGGTCAATAGATTTCTCCACATGCCCAAGGAGTCTAGGACACAAACGAAATGAAATGATTTCATGTAGTTGAGTGGAAGGAGCTGAATTTGGAGTCACAGGACCTGGGTTTGAATCCCAGCTCTGCCATTTTGCCACCCAGGCGACTTTGGATTAATTATTTACAATGTCTGGGCCTCAGTTTCCTCATATGTAAAATGAGAGAGTTAGATAAGATGGACTCTGAGGTCCCTTCCTGCTTTTGGACTAAGATCCCCTGAATATAATGTAGTCCATCTAATATGAGGCCACCTTGGGTCACTGACAGAATGTGCTTTTAGAGAGAGACAGAGACAGACAGAGACAGAGAGACAGAGAGAGAGGGAGAGAGAGAGACAGAGACAGAGAGGGAGAGAGAGAGA